TCAGACAGCCACCTTACCATCTCTCAGTCTGGGCCCTAGAGATGGAGCTCTGGGGGAGGCCGTGCTGTGGAGCCCCAGGGGGGCACTGCTGTGGCCAGCTCACACCATGAGGGCCTCCCAGGCCTTCACTGCCCTGAGCAGTGTGTTTCACTGGGGCCTCTGGACCCCCCAGTGCTGACCAGGGAGCACAGCTCAGAGCAACTCAAAAAACAAGCTCCTGTGTCTCTTCTGCTCCAGAGCCCCTCTTCCCCCCTGTGATGGAGAGTGGGAGAGATCGGGGTCCTGCCTGCCACATGAGGTGGGGATACAAGAAGGGCAGAGGTGGCTGGGATGCACACTGCCATGCAGACGGCCTGATGCCCTAGAAGGCACTGCCACCTCGGGCTGCGACATGGTAAGGGTTCACACTATTCAGAGAGAAATAGTACCAGGTCAGTGTGTGTGAGAGAGGTTCTGGTAACGACTCAAGCTGTTGTGGGACCAGCGGGTTTAAGCCAAGACTGGCAGACTGGAAACTCACAAAAGTGTCATCCCAGGTGCAAAACCAGTGGGCAGGCTAGAAGCTCATACTGGGACTCTATATCCCATCAGCTCAAGAAGTCCTGGCACACATAAGGAAGGCCTTCAGCTGATGCAATGAGGCCCACTGGGATGACTGAGAGTGATCTTAAAGTCACTGGATTACAGACATGAATCCCCTTTAAAATGTCTTTATAGCAAAATCTGATGTTTGACCCACAACAAGCACCACAACCTAGCCAAGGTGACCCACAAAATCCAACTGTCACCCACCTCAGACATCTACAGGACTAGAACAGCCAGGATGTGATGGTACCCAACTGCAGCTGTACCTCCTGGCCCTGTGAAGCCCCAGGCTTCCTTCCTCTGTGAGTGACCTCCCGGGGTGACTCTCTATATGGCCTCCGCCAAGGGCACCAAGTTCCAGCTCAGTTCCCAGCACTGAGGGCTGAGACAAGTTCGTCCAGACAGGGTAATGCCTGACTTGGGGAGACCCTGTCTCAAGATAAGTCTTGGGGTCCATCTCCAATACTGGTGGAGGGGAACTGCAGCCCAACAGCTGCCAGGGAAACGGAGCCCCTGCCCCACATCACTCGTGCACATGCACACACCCAGCCCATCCATCACGGGGGCCCACACTTGGTGCAAGCCCAGGTGAGACACCCCCCCCCCAGCAGGGCTCTGGGGAGAAGGGAGAGTTCTCCAAAGGAGCAGAAGAAACAGGGCCGCGTCCAAGAGGGCCCCGCAGCCCAAGTCCTCTGGATGATGTCACCTACAGCAGACATCTGCGGGGCTCTTCTCCCAGAATTCTTCTCCCCTTAGCGCTGTGTTCTCCAGGATCCTAGGCCTGAAACACACCCACAAAGCAGACCCTGAGGCTGCCTGCCTACCCAGGTACCACTGGGCTACCCTCAAGCTGGCCCTGCTGGGGTCAGGGCTACGGCACTGCTTAGGCCAGAACAGAGTGCAAGGTGATTCCTGAACTATAAAGGGGCTGAAGACGGCCCTGTGCCCCAATTAACACACATCATTGTAGGAGCTGGGAACAAAGCCACCCTCCATGGCTTTATTCGGTGGCCCATTTGGAGAAGCACTTAAGAAGGGCCCAGGCCAATGCACGCATACTGGCTTTAATTACATCCTGTGAGTTTTTCCAGAGCAGTATTTGTGGGGGAGAAGTCCATAAAAGCAGCTCGGGCAGAGTGGGGGTGCTGTGTTTCTTCTAGGAAATATGTTCAGTTTAAGTCCCAGCTTTGAGCACAACGTCTTACAAAGACAGGGGAACCCACAGAGGCCTGCTGCCAGCCCAGGCCAATGGCAGGGGCATAGAGAAGCCTCCTGCTCTGCTGTGGCCTCTCCATGTTTCCACGTGGGAATTCTGCATTGCTGTTAGCAGGCCCAGGGGGGCTGCTCTTTCTAGCTTCAAACACAGGACACTGTCACCTTCTCCAGGGGCCATCCCTTCTGTGCAGTGGTACTTCTTGGTGCTGGGAAAAGAGCATTTCGAAAATCCCACTTTTCATGGTCTTGAGGCGGTCACAACTTCGAACCCTCTTCTCCAGTGACTCTTGCTGTCAGCCGAAACACTTGTTTGATAACTGGCTGCCTCCTCCACCCTGCTGGGGGTTTTGTTAAGGAAACCAGAATTTTGTAGCACACCATGCCAGTACTACACTAACAAACCTAACTGAGTTCTCATTTCTTACACGGTCACCAACACAATCACAAGGACTGTGGCTCGGGTTTTTCTGGTTTCTTCCATCTCCAGACCTCCAGCTTTCGGGACAGGCCTGAGCCCGGGCTGCGATCCAGACTGACCAAAGCAGTGACGCGGAACACAGAGGAGGGTATTTTCCAAAGGAAAGTCAATTGTCCACTATTACACCCAAAGGGAGAAATTGCCTGTTTTCCTTTTTCCTCCTTCCCTTTCCAGCCTGATCCCAAAACATACAAAACTGTGATCTGTCAGTCATTCCGTTCCTGAGACAGAGTAAGGGAGGAGAGGTCTACTCGGGCTCAGTTTCAGAGGATTCAGCACACCATCAGCCAGCTAACAGAGCAGCATCATGGTCGGGGTGGCCCAGCTCAAGGCTGCTAGAAAGCAGAAGGCGTCAGTGCAGACAAAGCCACGCCCATGCCTCATCCCATCCAACCAGGCCATACCTCTCCACTGCCCAGCCAGCCACAGACCCAACAATGGGCTCCTCCACTGACAAAGGAGCCCCAGGACCCAGCCACTTCCTAAAAGCCCCCCCTCCAAACCCTCAAGGCTTTAGAGACATCATAGATCTCAAGCACACCACAGTCACAGGGGATGTTTTCATATCTACTCCTTGCTTTCCTTTTATCATGGACCCCACTTTTATCTACATAAAATGTCTCCAGCTCAGACACAAGCAAATACCACTGATGGCACAGAAAACTGTTTAAAAAAAAAAAGGACAGAGTAAGAAAAAAACCAAAGTCCAAGAACTCCGCTTTCTGCCGTGTGGTAGACTAGATACCTGACCAGTGCTCAGAATGGAAACAGCTGCACTCACAGAACACCAAAAGGGGCTGCGGGGGAAGGGCAGAGTGGGGCAGGCGCTCCCCTCGTAGTGGCCAGGGGGCACTAGGGACAAAATGTGCCCTGCACGCCTCTCCACCGACGCCTGGCTCGTGCTTCCCAAAGCTCCCTGCAGGGCCACACAGGAGCCTCTACAGATACTGAAGGGCCAGACTGACCCTGCGACCACCCAACACAGCTGCGTCCCAGAGCCAGCTGGTCCTAGCCACCCTTTCCCCTGTCCCTCCCTGTGCACTTCACAGACAGAGGACAGCCCCAGTCAGCTCAGGGCAGCAGAGACAAGCAGCCCTGGGGACACTTCAGGGACACTGCCAGAGCTGCAACTGGAATCCATACCCCAGACCCAAACCGCACTCATGTCCCTGGGGGTTACTGTTGGTCTTCACAAAGACCAGACACTTTGGTTTTGTTTTGTCTTAATCTGTAAGAATATCGAAGTATAAAGTTTAAAGTATAGTCTTGAACTTTCTTTTCCAAAAACTAACACATTTCTTTCGACAAATTAGTGTCAGCTGAATTTATAAACTCAAGACTCCAATATTCACAGTACTATAGTAAAGGAATCTACTTAAGAATTCTATTAGCTATTTTCTCAAAATATGAAAATTAGGATTTAATTTGATATCATTAAATACATTAGTAATCACAAGTAGAGACCTTCCAAAATTTCATAAGTGGAATTTCTGATAAACACTTACCTGCCTTATAAAACTTAAATTCATACAGAGAAGCAGCAAGTGTCACAGATGAATGAAACTTTCTCATACATAACTGAAAATTAAAAATCCAAATGTTTATGTTTTTCCATGTGTGAACTAAATTGCACAATCCATGCACTTATAGAAAAATAAGTGATTCTTTTTAATGATTTACGTATAAAGAAAAATAAACTTTGATACAATCTGATAAGCTACTTTATACAAAATTTTACTCACATACAATATATGCCATTTTCCAAAACAAGAAATGTATTCATATATACAAGCTCATAAAAGGCATGTATCTCAACTTGAGGCAAACCGGGTCCACTTCAGGGTTATGGCTAATTGCTCAAGTCAGGAGAGAAAACTACAGACATGAGCAGGACCAGTGAGCTGACAGTCCTCCCAGCCCAGGCTGACCTAGGGTAATCCGATCAGACAGAGCTGTGAGGTGCTCAGAGAAGAGGAAGGGAAACCCCAGTGTCTCCAAAGGACAGCTCTGCACGGCGCTCCTGCCTTGGTCAATGTGGAAGGCCCTCTGCCTCCTCACTGAAGAGTTTATTAAGAAAAACCAAGTGGAGCCATTCATGCTAGCTCTGCAAAACCTCACTTTCCGAGGCGCACCCTAGTCCAGTCATAATTGTGGCAGCCAGGGAGAGAAAGGCCAGGACCCAGAGCTGAGGACCCCTGAGGAAGTCCCCAGACACAGTGAAATCCTTTACACAATAACTTAAGACCTTAGTATTTTCAGTATATGTAAGTGAAAAACTGAGTATAAACCATGTTTGTTTGTTTTAAAAAACTTCACTTTAAAAAACATTTTCCAAAAAAATGGGTTACATCAAAAAATATCCTCCAGTGCCTCCTTTCCATTTCCTCCAGATGGCTTCCCCTGAGCTGCCCATGGAACGCCTGCGCAGAACACAAAGGATGCGCTGCCTCAACAGTAAGACCCTCTTCCAAAGACTTTGGGGGCTCTGCTGGTGTGGCCCCGGGGACCCAGGTGCAGTGCTGCAAGTGAGGAAGGAGCCTGTGACAGCTGTGTCAACAGCCAGCAGGGTCTCAGGGAAACCACCATCCATCTGTGAACCACAAGACCTGGCAACACAGGCACTGGCCGGGGAGGGTGTGTAGTCACGGGGCAGTGCCCCGGATACCACATGTGCCTGGCTAAGACGGACTTCCTTCCCTGCTTCTGGCCCGTTCTGCCACCTACCCCGCAGTCCTCTTCCGCTTCGTGCTGCTGTGTGGCGGCCTAATCCAGCCAAAGGAAAGGCCTCTGCTACCCGGGAGGGAAGGCAGACCAGGGCACACAAGCTGCAGCAGAAACCGCCCAGGGCCAGGACGGGGCCAAGGAGTGACGGGCTGTCTAGGACCAGCAAGGACCCCAGCAGAAGGAGGTAAAACAAATGTGGTCTTTAATATGCTTAGCCAGTCTGCTGTCCGCCTCCCATCCTCCTCCAGGTCCACGCTGGCGGGCACCGGCCAGCAGGTGCTCACTGCCGCGACGTCAGGTTGATGCTGTACACCATTTTCTGAATCTTCTCCTCGTTCCTCAGGATGTTTGCCTTCACGGCACAGATCTTGTCTTGCTGGTCTCTGACCTGCTGCTCAAGCTCTGCCAGCTCCGCCATCAGGGGCTCCACAGCGCTGTCCGTGACGCTGACGGGAACGAGGGGACTCATCAGTCTCAAGGCCCAACAGCACCCGCTTCTCAACTGTGACCCCAACGTCAGCAAGAGCAGAGCATGGACCCCAGGCAAGGAGAAAGGGCACAGTGCACCTCCTTCGGTAATGACACAAGGGGGAAAGCCCTTCACCTGCACAAACTTGACTTCGGATTTCTACAATCCAAAGTGAAGTCAAACATGAGATCCATTTAAAAAGAAGCCACTGTTCCTTCTGTGACAGATGTGAGGTCCTCCTATCACTCACTCAAGAGTTGAGGGACAGCAAGGAGCTGAGTGGCCAGGTCCTCAGACACCCAGGACAGCAGCCTGCCCACCTCCAGAGACTCTCAGGGCCTCAGAGAGGCCTCCTGTCTCCAGGGGTCTCTGGTTCACTCTCTCAGCACAGTGACTCAAGACCCTACAGCAATCGGCCTGAAAAGGGGAAAGTCTAAATTTTCCTGGGAAAGATCAAATCCAAGTAAGTATTTTCTTTAGGTTTTTAAAGCCCACAGATTAAAAAATAAAATACGAAGTATGGGGGCTGGGGAGACAGGTCAGTGGAATAAGCGCTTCCCTGGCAAGTGCAAGGGCCTCAGTTCAATCCCTGGTTCTGCCAAAAACCAAACAAACAAATAAAATATGAAGTATAAGAGCAACAGTTCTCAACTGTCCTATCATAAAGCATAACCAGATTTTATAAGGAATGCCTGGAATAATTATTTCTAATATTTAAAACCAGTTATATGCAACAACAGGTACCATAAGTTCCCCGTAATTTTCTGGCTTCCTTCATATTGTCCATCTCATATTTTAAGAGACTTTGGCTACATGGTTACAGAATGCTATAAACCCGGGTATCAGACACTTCCTAATAACACATTATACTTTTTTTTTTAATTTATTTATGTGTGTGTGTGTGTGTGTGTGTGTGGCCAGTTCAGCCCACCAGGGGGCGGGGCTGGCTGGCATGTGGTGCTGGGGGATTGAACTGAGGTCCCTGTGTTTTGCTAAGCTTGTTCTAAGTGCTTTAGACCACTGAGCCATCTCACCAGCCCCAACAAATTATATTTTTTAATGGCTATTGTGTTTCTTTTAAAGTTGCAATTTTAGATAGGCTTCTCAGCACTCCGTCTAGAGTAAATACAAAGACACTTCCCAAGTGGGAACAGCTACAAGGCTGTGGGACTGCACACAGGCATGCAGCCTGCCTCTTCTAATGAGGGAGAAACAATCATTCTCCTCTGGGGGAGAGGCACAGAAGGAGCCATGGGGGTTCTCCTGAGCTCCTACTCTCCAGCCTCCTCTACCCCCAACCTCCACCATTGTCACCCCTGCTCCGCGCGGACCCTGCACCCCAGCAGTCCCTGTGCCCCCTCCTTCCCCTCCTTCTTCCTGGCCCCTCCCCCTCCCCCCACCGCCCACCTCTGCTCCTTCTGCAGCGCCTCCGCATGCTGCCTGTTTTCGCTATGCCACAGCTGCAACTCATGCTGCATGGCATCCACATCCTCCTGCAGGTAGTCCATGATCTTCCCCAGGGGCAGCGTGCTTCTGCACAGGCTCTGGATGGATATGCGCAGCTTCTCAATCTCCTTGCAAACAATGTCCTTCTCCTTCTTCCATGCAGACTCGAAGACAAGCGACTTCTCCTGCAACCGGGTGCCAGGAAGAGAGAGCAGTGTCCTGAATCCGGGCGGGGTAGGGTGGCTGGGCAGGGCAGCTTCGCACAGGGCCACGCGCCTGGGGTACTGGGGAGCAGCTGCAGAGCAGGGCAGGTGTGAGGCAACAAGAGGCCAGGCCTCCCTTCTCAGAAGACAGACAAGGTCTGCCTGGAGAGCCCAGGGACCAGGACTTCCTGTCACTTCTATCACAAGAGCTTAGACACTTCCCCAGGGACTGGCAGAGGGACGCTAGCCCTGCAGTTACCTCATTATAAAACACACACTTTACAGAAGAGGGAATGGCCCAGGCAGTGATCTTGGCTTGTTGTGGAGGTGCTGTGGTTCACCCTGGGGGACTCCACCCTGAGACACATCCCACACACACCTATTTCTTTAGAGCTGGAGACCAGGTCTCACCAAGCTCCCTTGTCTAGCCTCAAACCTGTGCTTCTCCTGTTTCAGCCTTTCTGGTAGTTGGGACTGTAGGTGTATGCCAGCTGTCCCAGCTATATAAACACTTTTAAACTAAAATGCTAAATGATTAACACAAAGAAAATACCATCATAAACTACTTTCCATGTGGAAACCCAGTATCGACAGATACAAATCAGCAAGTCTCTCGCTGACTCGGATGACAAATTTACAGTGCTCTGAAGCCCACTAAGGATGATGGCCAAGCACACATGGTCCTGGCATGGCACCATGGTCCCTCCAGCTCGGGCATGTATGGAGGGCTCAGATGGGAGAGTAACCGGCAGCAGTGTCTGCAGAGCCGGGCTGCAGCACAGGAGGGACACGGGCAGCCAACACAGGCCTGTGTTTCTGTTAACACATCCAGCTCCTCCAAGTTTCTGTGCCGCAGAGCCAAGCAGGACCTGGACCACTAATGTTAAAGTCTAAAATTTTACTTTAAGAGGTTAAGAATTTAAGTCAAGGGGCCAGGCATTTAGCTAAGCAGTGCTGTGCCTGCCTGGCAAGCACAAGGTCCTCAGTTCAATTCCTGGCACACCAAAAAAATTTAAATCAAGAGGCCTCGGTTTGGGCTTGTGCTAGCTGGAGATATTTTCAGTGTCATCCTAAAGGCATGGGACTGCATTGCTGAGAAACACTAGAATCCTGGCGGTTTTCAAGTGTTCACTTACACCACAGGGCAGGAGGGAGGTGGCCAGGTCGGTGGTGACTGTCACAGGCCAGGCCCTCTAGCGACAGACAGGTCCACGCGTGTGGACACAGCAGCGACCTTCCAAGCCACACAGGCATGTCTGCACAACTGCTCTACAAGTAACACAGCCCAAGGCTGCCTGGCAGAGGAATCAGCCATATGGAACACGGATTTGGGAAACAGAGCAAAAATGCTGCGAGTCTGTCCTCACACAAAGCCCAGCCTGCAGCCCCTGGAACGTGGGGTTGGGGACCCTGCCACCCGCATGCGCCTCAGCATCCCCACAGTGCAGTGGCAATGGTGACACTGAGCCTGCAGGAGGATGAAGGGGGGACAGAATGAGCAGCTAGTAATTCCACACAGGAGCCATTCTCCATGGTCACAAACGCATCCCAGAGAGGAGGAGGTGCCACCGCAGGCCTGGTTGGGCACATCCAGGGAAGCCGTGCCTAAGATCACCTACATCCAGCTTCAGGTGGTGGACAAGCCCTATCTTCTCAGTGCACTCTCCCTCCCCGCATCCCTCTGAAAAACACAGGGAACCTTGGCTACGAAATGAACCCCAACTTTTCCTTCCAAGAGACCCATGACCCTAAGCACAGCGAGCACTGGCCACACTTGTCCCCCAGGCTCCAATGCAGTGCACCCCTCCCTGCCCAAAGGCTGCCGAGACTGCCACAGTGGCTGGCTTGTGGCTAGCCACTTGACCCCGCTGTCACATCTGTGTATGCCACACATGCCCGCCACCTTCAGAGATGCCACCATCCAGGCACATGCCGTGCGCACCCACACACACATACACTTTTAGAAAATGCTTCCAGGATTTTTCAGTAAACCATTAGTTATTTCTGAGACTTATAACATTGTTTACCTTTTACCATACACACCTGATCCCAGAAATCTGAGCCCCAATGCCACTTTGCCACCACCTGGCCGATCACCAGGTCTCCACCTCCAGGGCAGCACGACTCTACCCCACACTCAACAAACCCAATAAACAGAAGCCTGATTAAAGGGGGACACAAGTTTACACATCTGTAATATTTAAATAACGGAACTTAACAAAAAAAGGGGACACAGATGAATGTCCATTTCATATCTGTATATTCAAAGTGGTTAGGACAGATACATAGTTACATTCTCTTAATGAATAGAGGAATTTGTTCTAATGGTGTTTGTAGATAGGATATCAAGTCTGCATCTTGTACAGCAATTAACCACTAGGAAGAATGTGTGCAAAGTGTTATTATTTAAACTGTCCTACCAACTTGAAAAAATAAAATAAAATTTTTTTAAAAAGATACTAAAAAAAAAGGGGGGGGACAAAAGGTTGTAAATCAATAAGTATCAGCTTTAAATAACGTGCTCTCGGGACCTCAGGAACCTGGATGTGTACCCCGGCTGGGAAAATCTCATTTTCTTCATAAACAGAGGATATCTGTTTTCATGTCACAGGAAGTAACTCAGGCCAACAACAGTCACTCCCAGGTCCTCCTCATCTAGACGCCCCCTTACCAAGTGTCCCCACAGACCTACACTCGCCTCTACACAGGACAAATTGGACCGCTCTAACACAGAAAGTCTCTGGTTAAGTACTTTAACTTTCCAATGCCCCCACTGAAAGCACGTAACACATAATCGCCCTGCGTAACACACAGGAAGTGGACACCTGCAGCACCTGTGAGCGAGAAAGCCCCTCCGGGGTCACCAGCACCAGCTGCCCCCGCGTGGCCAGGCCCCAAGTCCACGCCCAGCACTGTGGCCAGCTTGCCCGGTGAAGTCACAAAGCACAGGCTGCCTGTGTCTGCCTCCTCCTCTGCCCAACACCTGGTATATGAGGCCACCACGTGATGCAGGTTTGTCTCTGTGTTGACAGTTCACAGATGAACGAATACCACCATGTATTCATCCAGTCTCTTGCTGGTGGATGTCTGGTTATTTTTCATCAGAGGCTACTGCAAAAATTCAACTCTGAATAATCATATTTACCCCAATATTCACAGGCACCCGGTTCGCTAGACAATGCAACCGTCAGTGGCTTGCTGGATAAAGGTATTCACGTTCCCAACTTCAAGACAACATGCCCAGTGGCTCGATCAACCTTTTCCAGATCTTTTCTTCTTGGCAACACCTGGAGCTTCTCAGTACGGCACTGCGAAGCTCTTCACAGAGCAGCATGGGAGCTTCATTCTGCTGCTTCCAGCCGCTCACTAACACCACACGGAGGAAAACAGACTTCAGAGGGTTCATTCTGTCAAGTGGCTCTCACCATCCTACACCACAGCAGTCACCTCTAGTTGATTTTGACACTTGTCACCCTCCGCAATGAGGATGACAGGGGGCCGGGGTGGAACTCAGCAGCCCAGCGCCTGCCTGGCAAGCATGAGGTCCCAAGTTCGAGTTCTGTGCTCCCAAAACAAATGAGGATCCTATGCCCCCTCCAGAGTGAAGCTCACTTCCTCACTTCCTTTGACACCAGCCAATAGCCTCTGAACAGTGCCACGCTGCTTGCCTGGGTGCCTGGATCTTGAGTGGCTTCACAAGTCACATGCTGGCATCTGGGGACGTGGACTAGGGGACACAGTGTGCCCACCTTGTGGAAGAGACGTGCTTTCCCCATCCTCGCCACCACAGGTCATCAGTGACAATGCACACTGAGTTTCATTCAAGCCACCATGTCCATAGGCAAGTGCACACACTGCTGGTTTTGCTTGGCTTAGGAATCGTTTCTAGGCTACAGGTCAGATAAGTCACGTACATTTATTGGAGGCCAGGTGATGGACCTGAACTTTAAGCCAAAGCAGCTGGCTTTCCTGGCATGGCACTACGCATAAAGAGTAAATGTTAAAGAAACCACAAAAGAGAAAGACACAGACATAGTAATCTAACAGGAACAGCTTTTAGGACATACTCTATTTTGTTACTAATCTCCATGAGTTTTAGAAAACAATGACTAGTAATGCTGAACTTTAACTTGTTCAAACATCTTTACTTTTGCTTGAATGAAATCGTTAAAACCTACATATAGATTTTTATGATTTGTTAACATTTTTTTAAATTTTTTTTAATCTTTTATTTATTTAGTATAGGGCCTCGCTACACAGCTCAGATTCATAGTGATCCTCCTGTCTCAGCCTCCCCAGCACTGGGATTATAGGTGTGTGCCACCACACCTGGCTCTGGGGCAGCACAGCACACAGAGAGTTCCAGGGCCAGCAGGGCACGTGGTACCAGGATCAAAGTCAGGTCCTTGCGCTTGCCAGGCAGGGGCTTACACTGTCAAGCTATCTCCCCAGCCCAGATCTATCACACTTTAACATGCTCTCGCCCCTCAGGAGACTGCTCCTCTGGTAATACAAGTGGGACAGTCAGGCCTGGGACCATCCCACACAGACCACTGTTAGGTCAAGCCACCTGGAAGTGGAATGTACCAGTCAGGGCCACACTGTAAACATGCTGAAATATGAACTATAGCAAGTTGATTCTGGACAGAATGGAAAAACTGGAACAAACCTAGCGAATAATTATAAACCAGAAAAAGAGAACTCGAGAGGTGACAGATTCGAGCTGTGAGAAAGCCAAGGCCTGGGAGGAGGCAGGTGCCATGGCCTTGTTCATGTGTGGACCAAGATCCTGACCATGGCAGAGCTGGAGCTCGAGGAGTGGGAGGGCACTGCTAAGCCTAGGAGAAGGGTGCCCCATGGAGCAGCTAGCAGTATGGGGGGCCTGCCAGCCCCAAGCAGGGTCCAGTCAGTGAGTACTGAGCACAGCATGTGAATCCTGAGATGGACAGAGAAGAACCAGACCTACAAGGGACACATGGGAA